GGGAATAGAAAGCTGTAACTCTCACTTGTAAGGAGGGGGTATTGTCATGCAGAGTTCACACAGACTAGACATTATACGGAGGAGGAGGAGGAAGAGAGAGAGAGAGAGAGAGGAGGGGGGGAATAGAAAGCTGTAACTCTCACTTGTAAGGAGGGGGTATTGTCATGTAGAGTTCACACAGACTAGTACATTATACGGAGGAGGAGGAGGAAGAGAGAGAGAGAGAGAGAGGGGGGGGGGGGGGGAATAGAAAGCTGTAACTCTCACTTGTAAGGAGGGGGTATTGTCATGCAGAGTTCACACAGACTAGTACATTATACGGAGGAGGAGGAGGAAGAGAGAGAGAGAGAGAGAGGAGGGGGGGAATAGAAAGCTGTAACTCTCACTTGTAAGGAGGGGGTATTGTCATGTAGAGTTCACACAGACTAGTACATTATACGGAGGAGGAGGAGGAGGAGGAAGAGAGAGAGAGAGAGAGAGGAGGGGGGGAATAGAAAGCTGTAACTCTCACTTGTAAGGAGGGGGTATTGTCATGCAGAGTTCACACAGACTAGACATTATACGCAGGAGGAGGAGGAAGAGGGAGAGAGAGAGAGGAGGGGGGGAATAGAAAGCTGTAACTCTCACTTGTAAGGAGGGGGTATTGTCATGCAGAGTTCACACAGACTAGTACATTATACGCAGGAGGAGGAGGAAGAGAGAGAGAGAGAGAGGGGGGGGGGGGAATAGAAAGCTGTAACTCTCACTTGTAAGGAGGGGGTATTGTCATGCAGAGTTCACACAGACTAGACATTATACGGAGGAGGAGGAGAAGAGAGAGAGAGAGAGAGAGGAGGGGGGGGGGAATAGAAAGCTGTAACTCTCACTTGTAAGGAGGGGGTATTGTCATGTAGAGTTCACACAGACTAGTACATTATACGGAGGAGGAGGAGGAAGAGAGAGAGAGAGAGAGGAGGGGGGGAATAGAAAGCTGTAACTCTCACTTGTAAGGAGGGGGTATTGTCATGTAGAGTTCACACAGACTAGTACATTATACGCAGGAGGAGGAGGAAGAGGGAGAGAGAGAGAGGAGGGGGGGAATAGAAAGCTGTAACTCTCACTTGTAAGGAGGGGGTATTGTCATGCAGAGTTCACACAGACTAGTACATTATACGGAGGAGGAGGAGAAGAGAGAGAGAGAGAGAGAGGAGGGGGGGAATAGAAAGCTGTAACTCTCACTTGTAAGGAGGGGGTATTGTCATGCAGAGTTCACACAGACTAGTACATTATACGGAGGAGGAGGAGAAGAGAGAGAGAGAGAGAGAGGAGGGGGGGAATAGAAAGCTGTAACTCTCACTTGTAAGGAGGGGGTATTGTCATGTAGAGTTCACACAGACTAGTACATTATACGGAGGAGGAGGAGAAGAGAGAGAGAGAGAGAGAGGAGGGGGGGAATAGAAAGCTGTAACTCTCACTTGTAAGGAGGGGGTATTGTCATGCAGAGTTCACACAGACTAGTACATTATACGCAGGAGGAGGAGGAAGAGAGAGAGAGGGGGGGGGGGGGAATAGAAAGCTGTAACTCTCACTTGTAAGGAGGGGGTATTGTCATGTAGAGTTCACACAGACTAGTACATTATACGCAGGAGGAGGAGGAAGAGAGAGAGAGGGGGGGGGGGGAATAGAAAGCTGTAGCTCTCACTTGTAAGGAGGGGGTATTGTCATGTAGAGTTCACACAGACTAGTACATTATACGCAGGAGGAGGAGGAAGAGAGAGAGAGGGGGGGGGAATAGAAAGCTGTAGCTCTCACTTGTAAGGAGGGGGTATTGTCATGCAGAGTTCACACAGACTAGTACATTATACGGAGGAGGAGGAGGAAGAGAGAGAGAGGAGGGGGGGGAATAGAAAGCTGTAACTCTCACTTGTAAGGAGGGGGTATTGTCATGTAGAGTTCACACAGACTAGTACATTATACGCAGGAGGAGGAGGAAGAGGGAGAGAGAGAGAGGAGGGGGGGAATAGAAAGCTGTAACTCTCACTTGTAAGGAGGGGGTATTGTCATGCAGAGTTCACACAGACTAGTACATTATACGGAGGAGGAGGAGAAGAGAGAGAGAGAGAGAGAGGAGGGGGGGAATAGAAAGCTGTAACTCTCACTTGTAAGGAGGGGGTATTGTCATGTAGAGTTCACACAGACTAGTACATTATACGGAGGAGGAGGAGAAGAGAGAGAGAGAGAGAGAGGAGGGGGGGAATAGAAAGCTGTAACTCTCACTTGTAAGGAGGGGGTATTGTCATGCAGAGTTCACACAGACTAGTACATTATACGGAGGAGGAGGAGGAGGAGGAAGAGAGAGAGAGAGGGGGGGGGGGGGAATAGAAAGCTGTAACTCTCACTTGTAAGGAGGGGGTATTGTCATGTAGAGTTCACACAGACTAGTACATTATACGGAGGAGGAGGAGGAAGAGAGAGAGAGGAGGGGGGGAATAGAAACCTGTAACCATGACTTGTAAGGAGGGGGTATTGTCATGCAGAGTTCACACAGACTAGTACATTATACGCAGGAGGAGGAGGAAGAGGGAGAGAGAGAGAGAGGAGGGGGGGAATAGAAAGCTGTAGCTCTCACTTGTAAGGAGGGGGTATTGTCATGCAGAGTTCACACAGACTAGTACATTATACGCAGGAGGAGGAGGAAGAGAGAGAGAGGGGGGGGGGGAATAGAAAGCTGTAACTCTCACTTGTAAGGAGGGGGTATTGTCATGCAGAGTTCACACAGACTAGTACATTATACGGAGGAGGAGGAGGAAGAGAGAGAGAGAGAGAGAGGAGGGGGGGAATAGAAAGCTGTAACTCTCACTTGTAAGGAGGGGGTATTGTCATGTAGAGTTCACACAGACTAGTACATGATACGCAGGAGGAGGAGGAAGAGAGAGAGAGGGGGGGGGGGAATAGAAAGCTGTAACTCTCACTTGTAAGGAGGGGGTATTGTCATGTAGAGTTCACACAGACTAGTACATTATACGGAGGAGGAGGAGGAAGAGAGAGAGAGGAGGGGGGGAATAGAAACCTGTAACCATGACTTGTAAGGAGGGGGTATTGTCATGCAGAGTTCACACAGACTAGTACATTATACGCAGGAGGAGGAGGAAGAGGGAGAGAGAGAGAGAGGAGGGGGGGAATAGAAAGCTGTAGCTCTCACTTGTAAGGAGGGGGTATTGTCATGCAGAGTTCACACAGACTAGTACATTATACGCAGGAGGAGGAGGAAGAGAGAGAGAGAGAGAGGGGGGGGGGGGGGAATAGAAAGCTGTAACTCTCACTTGTAAGGAGGGGGTATTGTCATGCAGAGTTCACACAGACTAGTACATTATACGCAGGAGGAGGAGGAAGAGAGAGAGAGAGAGAGGAGGGGGGGAATAGAAAGCTGTAACTCTCACTTGTAAGGAGGGGGTATTGTCATGCAGAGTTCACACAGACTAGTACATTATACGGAGGAGGAGGAGAAGAGAGAGAGAGAGGAGGGGGGGAATAGAAAGCTGTAACTCTCACTTGTAAGGAGGGGGTATTGTCATGTAGAGTTCACACAGACTAGTACATTATACGCAGGAGGAGGAGGAAGAGAGAGAGAGGGGGGGGGGGGAATAGAAAGCTGTAACTCTCACTTGTAAGGAGGGGGTATTGTCATGTAGAGTTCACACAGACTAGTACATTATACGGAGGAGGAGGAGGAAGAGAGAGAGAGGAGGGGGGGAATAGAAACCTGTAACCATGACTTGTAAGGAGGGGGTATTGTCATGCAGAGTTCACACAGACTAGTACATTATACGCAGGAGGAGGAGGAAGAGGAAGAGAGAGAGAGAGAGAGGGGGGGGGAATAGAAAGCTGTAACTCTCACTTGTAAGGAGGGGGTATTGTCATGCAGAGTTCACACAGACTAGTACATTATACGCAGGAGGAGGAGGAAGAGGGAGAGAGAGAGAGGGGGGGGGGGGAATAGAAAGCTGTAACTCTCACTTGTAAGGAGGGGGTATTGTCATGCAGAGTTCACACAGACTAGTACATTATACGCAGGAGGAGGAGGAAGAGAGAGAGAGAGAGAGGGGGGGGGAATAGAAAGCTGTAGCTCTCACTGGTAAGGAGGGGGTATTGTCATGTAGAGTTCACACAGACTAGTACATTATGCGGAGGAGGAGGAGGAGGAGGAAGAGAGAGAGAGAGAGAGAGGGGGGGGGGGAATAGAAAGCTGTAGCTCTCACTTGTAAGGAGGGGGTATTGTCATGTAGAGTTCACACAGACTAGTACATTATACGGAGGAGGAGGAGGAGGAGGAAGAGAGAGAGAGAGAGAGAGGGGGGGGGGGAATAGAAAGTTGTAGCTCTCACTGGTAAGGAGGGGGTATTGTCATGCAGAGTTCACACAGACTAGACATTATACATTCATATCCACGAATGCAGATGAACTCCCCAGATGTATTTCAATTCTAGGAATGCCTCTTCTTCAGTTGTTACTAGCGTGGCTTGCTGTCCTAACAAAAGCTATTCAGTCTGCATTCAGTCTACTAGTGCTTGAAAATATCCATGTAATAGTATGTCACTATGCTTTAATAGGACTTGAGCATCCATTCATTTGAATACATGTGTGATCATGCTTTTGTCTGGCACCAACTATTTGTTATTCCATTAGTCATCTACAAACCAATTGAATAAACTTGATTATTCACGAATGATTCACTAATTTTATGCTCACTCCTACAAATCTTTCTTTTGACAATTAAAAAGCATGCCACAGGATTACCCGACATACCAACAATGTATGCAAAGTGAACTGCATCTATTAAAAAGATGTCATTATGCATGGCAGGTAGACATGTAGTTGTAACTTGTTAACTGGTGGTTCGAGGGAGAAACATCCATAAATTGTAATATATTAGTAACTGGGTGTATTTTTTGCTCCCTGGCCTACTGACTACATGTTTATCTGTGGTAATAGATGATTTCATCATTGGTATTGGTTCACAGGCTGGGACTTTTAGCGTTGCTGACAAGGACACCTTATCCAGACGCCCGATGATCAAAGCTAAGAGAAGAGTCACAGAAAAACAACAGGTAACATTTTCCTTCTCCTTTATAATAGCACAAAATTAAAACAAAAATACTCTGTTCTCTGCAGAAGTCCCATTTGTTTTTATATTAAGAATTTTTGACTTTCTTTCTTTCTTTTTCAGCACTATTGATCTTGTAGAAAAGTTTCCACAGTTTCATAGCAAGTTACAATGTTAATGGGGCAGGGTTAATCGCAGTAATTATAGCACTGTCAGAACATACAGAAAATAGCATCAATTGTAATAGAATCTGATACAATTCATTGAATTTTTTTTTTTTTTAAATGATATGAAAGGTTTTTATTCATCTTTTAATTTTGGAGGGCAATTTTCTTTATTCATGGTGCTACTGAGCCATCATATATTAAGGGGTCAGTGACACACAGACGTAACTCCATTTTTAGAAAAAAGTGGTTTATGTGTCACTGAGCACTTGGGCCTTAAGGAGTTAAGTCTATGTTTCACTAACCATTGACTTCATAGGGGTGTTGGGTGGAGTTAGCCTGTGTGTTTCCTGGAAAGCCCACATTTTTCTGAACATTTTGATATCAAATACTCATTTGGCAAAATATGGAGTTACGTCATTGGGTCACTGAACCCTCGATATCTACTTATGTTTTAGGCAAGTTTTTAATTAGGGCTTCGACGAGTAGTCGAATACTCAAGTATTCACACTGTTGACAACTACTCGAGTACGATTTCTCGTACTTGAATATTCGGCCGCAAAAAAAAAAAATTAAAAAAATTAAATTCCCGGTCACCTGGCACTGTCCAGGCTGACGCTTACCCGTGCCAGGGAGAACGCCGGCCACCTGCATGGTACAGTCAGTAAAAATGTTTCCCAGCTCAATCACTGTCAAACTCACCACTCAGAAACTGGGACCAAATGTCCGGATTTCTGTTTGGACTCGGAGGAAAATGGATTATTCTGCCATCTTTAGTTTTTAAAACAGCATTGTTTACTGTTATTATTATTATTATTATTAAATCGGCACCTTCAACTGCAACTCAAGGTAAAACTGTGTGAGTTTTCGGAGACGGACCTGGGATACTGCTCCCGTAATATGGTGATGGCAACAAAAAAAAATTAAATTAAAAAAAAACATGGCGTCCGAATATTACTCGTCTGTAAGCCTGGGAGTGTACTCTGGTACCTCATTACACGGTTGTGCACAGCCTTATTTGTAATGATGCATTTTTCATGGTATAAAAATATAAAGTATAGGGTATGTAGAGGTGTTGTGGTCGAGTGGATATGTCACCGGACTGTGGATCACAAGGTCCGCGGTTCAAGTCCCGCCGCAGCACTAATGTCCTTTGGCAAGACATTGATCTACATTTGCCACTCTCCACCCAGGTGTTAAAATGGGTACCCGGTATGATGCGAAAGCAAATGTGGTTTGATTAGCAATGGCGCTTGTAAAATGGCGACTGACTGGAATGCTCCCCAGGGAGTGGAGAATGTGCATACCTCGTGTGCGGGTAAGCCTGAATCCGATGACCGGGGTAATAATATGTTACGCGCCTAGAAACGTAGTATTAGGCGCATTGTAAATGTGAGCTATTATTATTATTATTATAATGAGCCTAGAGCAATGACAAAGTCAAGTCCTTCTGTGTGGATGGTGATGAAGTGTGTTTTCCCATTTTGTTTCCTTGAATATTGAAGGACGAGAGTGAGCCCGCAGCACAGACGCCGTTCGCTGCTTTTAAAGGATTCTCCGGATTTGGAAGTGCCACACAACAGACTTCAACCGCCTCATTCGGCTTCAAACCGGTTTCAACCGCTTCCCCCACTGCACCCGTAACACAGAGCACAGTCTCGTTCGGTTCCGCAGCGTCATCCAACACAGTCAAACTTCAGGCTAAGACAACCTTCAGCTTCAAACCAAGCGCAGAGTCGCAACCATCCACAAACATGTTCACATTAGGCAAGACAGATATGGACCCCAAGACCTCGTCAAACGGGAGTTCTTTATTCTCTAAATCGGAAAATGGCGGCAAGGGGACGGATGCGTACGCCGATGAAATTAGGGCGTTGAATCGGTCTGTGAGCGCGTGGATTCAGAAACATGTAGAGGGCAATCCTGTTTGTGACTTGACGCCTATTTTCGAGGACTATAAGAAGCATCTGGGAGAGATCGAAGAGAAGCAAGCAAAGGGGAAAGAAGGAGGAGGAGGAGGGGAGCAGAGTAAAACGAAACCACAGCTCGCCACAGTCAGCCCTCTATCGACAGAGCAAGGGAAGTCTTCCAGCACAACAGCAGTATCATTCACAGGTATCATTCTTAAAAGGATTGGGTCTTTGCCTCAGATTCTAAACAAAATCCTGGATTTAGCTCATGCTGCAATTATAATTATAAACTTTTAGGTCAGTCAGGAACCCCATGACTTTTACAAGCCGGTCACCTGTCTGATTATCATGATATTCATGATTGGAATTAGAAATTTTGAGAACTGTTTGCCAAACGGTGTACATAACACTACAGTCTATTGGGAAAAACGAGTATGGTAAAACGGTCACTCAACGATTTTTACTTTTTTGAGGCACTTCTTGATCATTTTGAAGCACAATTTTTTAGGGCTTCAATATAACACCATATCACAGACACTGATAACATGTAGGGCCGTGTATCTCAGATTTAACATTGTTAAACGATCCCTTAAGTTCAGGTCATTTTTAGGGGTTACCAAATAAAGAACTGTTTGCCAAACAGTTTTGAACAGTTGTTCATAACACTACAGTCTATTGGGGAAAATGAGTACGTTAAAACCGGTCACTCAAAGATTTGTCTTTTTTTTTGAAGCACTACATGATCATTTTGAAGCACAATTTTTGTAGGGCTTCAGTATAACACATAGGGCCATGCATCCCAGATTTGTAAAACTGTAAAGCATTGTTTAACAATGCCTTTAACTATTTCTTCTTCTTGTACAAGGCTGGTCATACCTGACAGATAACAATAGCGATAGAATTTTTCCTAAATTGCTCTCACACTATAAGGGAGGTAAAAGCGTTATAAATTGCTGTTGTAGGTCCCACGTCAATGATTTCTAATGCAAATGAGTCTCCCTCACATTTTTGTCATCGTGCTGAAATCGTTTTTTCCAAGCAGGTTTCTTAGGACAGACCTCAATTCAATTTTTTTTTTTTTTTTTACTTCAGACCACCCTCTGATGACAAAAAGATGCTTCATTATCTTTGAATTTTGAAATTTAAATGCCAAATGAACATCTCCCAGGTAAAAATGAACTATACATTTAAGCGGGACTGCACTACTTGTAACTACTTGCACCCTCTATGTAGCCAACATTGCCTTAGCGGTACCTGTTGGGAGCTGATTTGATGAGATACCCACCTGCCAGTGACCTTGCAGGGAGGTCTAATCCCCCTCCCGTACACTAGTACAGATAAGCTTTAGAGCAGTTAACATTTATGAATATGCTTTTGCATTAGTTATTTCTGATTACTAACGTTGCAAATTTTTCTACTCTCTCATCCAGGATTCAAGTTCGCTGGAACTCCAGCAGCTGCAGCAGAAAGCGAGAAGGCGCCGTCAGCTCCGAAAGTCAGTTTCGGCTTTGGGGCTGCATCCTCCGATAACAAGGGCTTCAGCTTTGGGGCCGCAACCTCCGATAACAAGAGCTTAGGCTTTGGGGGCGCTTCTTCCGATAACAAGAGCTTAGGCTTTGGGTCATCATCGTCGTCCTCTTCGACGTCGGGATCGATGGCAGGCAAGTTCTCTTTCGGAGACTTGACCAAAGCTGCCCCTTCCAGCCAAGGTAATTTTGTTTTGGCTCTCAGGGAAGGTTGAGTTCCAGGAAAGATGAGAAGAATCGTTGGAAAAAAATTATTCTCATATTATTTTTGAAGAATGCCCTAGACAAAAAAAGTTTTTGGTTTTTGTACCTGTGTATAAGACGCACCCCGACTTTCGTTTTTTTTTTTTCAGCGGAAAAAATTGCGTCTTATACACAGAGATTTACGGTGTGATAGTAAACCGGTATTTTGCTTTCAGCAAGTTTCTTTCAATTTGTATTAGCATGACCAGTACCCAACTTGATCTTTACGATGACAAAATTAACTAATTTTCTCTGTTATTTATGATTTATTTTTTAAGTCAAGAAGGAGGAAGAGGAGGAATCAGATGAACCTCCAAAGGTCGAAGTGAAAGTGATTGAGGAGAAGGACTCCCTCTATTCCACAAGGTAAGAAAGTTTTATTTTGTTCATTCATACTTTCTAACTCCTATGAACATGAAAGAAATATGTGTGTTACTTCCATGTTCATAGGAGTTAGAATGGTCACTGACAGGTGGTTATCTCATCAAATCAGCTCCAAATTAACATAAGAAAAAGGGGATCATGGGGACTGATGGTCGCCGATTAGGCATTGTTTGCTAAATATAGGGCGCAAGTAATAAGCAGTGCAGTGGGGCTTTAACAGAATCTATATTTTTGCTCATCTTTCTTTCTTGCTTTAGATGTAAAATATTTTACAAGAAAGAATCAGAGTTCAAGGAGAGAGGAGTAGGAATGCTGCACATCAAGGATACGGGAGGGTCTGCCCAGCTTCTCATCAGAGCCGATACGACACTTGGTATGTGAAAAATATAATGATGATGGGGAGCAGGAGGAGGAGGATTATGATGGTGGTGATGGTGGTGGTGAGGATGGTGGTGGTGGTGGTGAGGATGGTGGTGGTGGTGGTGAGGATGGTGGTGGTGGTGGTGATGGTGATGGTGATGGTGGTGGTGGTGGTGGTGGTGGTGGTGATGGTGGTGGTGTTGGTGATGGTGGTGGTGGTGTTGATGGTGATGATTAAGGTGGTGGTTTTGATGGTGATAATGATGATTAAGGTGGTGGTGTTGGTGGCGATGATGATGATTAAGGTGGTGGTGTTGATGGTGATGATGATGATTAAGGTGGTGGTGTTGATGGTGGTGGTGTTGATGGTGATGGTGATGATTAAGGTGGTGGTGTTGATGGCGGTGGTGTTGGTGGTGATGGTGATGATTAAGGTGGTGGTGTTGATGATGGTGGTGGTGTTGATGGTGATGGTGATGATTAAGGTGGTGATGTTGATGGTGATAATGATGATTAAGGTGGTGGTGTTGATGGCGATGATGATGATTAAGGTGGTGGTGTTGATGGTGATGATGATGATTAAGGTGGTGGTGTTGATGATGGTGGTGGTGTTGATGGTGATGGTGATGATTAAGGTGGTGATGTTGATGGTGATAATGATGATTAAGGTGGTGGTGTTGATGGCGATGATGATGATTAAGGTGGTGATGTTGATGGTGATAATGATGATTAAGGTGGTGGTGTTGATGGCGATGATGATGATTAAGGTGGTGGTGTTGATGGTGATGATGATGATTAAGGTGGTGGTGCTGATGATGGTGGTGGTGTTGATGGTGGTGATGATGATTAGGAGCAGGAGGAGGAATAGGAGGGGGAGGATTATGGTGATGATGATGATTAAGGTGGTGATTGTGATGATGGTGATGTTCATGATTGTGATGGTGATAATGATGGTGATGATGATGATGATGGTGGTGGTGGTGGTGGTGGTGGTGGTGGTGGTGGTAGTGGAAGTGGTGGTGGAAGTGGTGGTGGTGGAAGTGATGATGAGGAGGAGGAGGATTATGATGGTGATGATGATGATACTCATATGTATTTATATTTTGCACACATCCATCCCAAGGAATGCTCAAGACACCTACAAAGTACTGTTATTACCCCGGCTTTACTAGTAGTCTAGCAACCCTCGGGTGCTAAAAACATTCAAGGAAACAATTCCTACCAGGAACCCATTTACTACCAGTGGGTAGATACTGGCAAATGTGGAATAATGTCTTGCCAAACAACAGCAGCTCTGGGCTGGGAGCCTGGGACTCAAACTTTAAGCCAGCTTTCAAATGCTATGCAGCAAAAAAAGATTTAAAATAGCACTTTGACCTTATTTTCTTTAAATTGTGCTGTCTCTTCGCATTGTATTGTTTTAACCAGAGCTTTGTTGCTGTTGTTGTTTTGTGGAGCTGAATCATTCACCACTTCCATGTTTGTTATTGTTTGTTTGTTTCAATACTTTAATTCATCTCTCGTCTCTCTTGCAGGAAATGTCATCTTGAACGTCGGCGTTACGTCCGGCATGCTGCCCCACTTCACCAAGCAAGGCAAGAACAAGAATAACGTCATGATGCTTTCTCCCCTAAACCCACCGGCCGATAAAAAGTGCCCCAAGTGCAAAAAGAACTATCTGAACCCCCAGGAAAGCACGGCCTGTGAGGAGGGCTGCAATCCCGACGCCACCCCTCTCCTGCTCCGCGTCAAGACTGAGGCGGACGCCGATAAGCTGATTGAACAGATCAAGAAGATCTGCGAAGATTAGCTGGTCTTTTGGATTTAGGAGATATGCGAGGATTAACTGATGGAGGAAATTAGGAAGAGATTAGGAGGTTCTGCAAGGTTTAAATGATTTCAAAGATTTAGAATGTATATTTCAATAATAACTTCTTTTATGAAGCCCCTTTTGATAAGATACCAAGCGCATGGAAAGAAAATGCTTACAAACAAAGCAAAAGAAAATGTTCATACAAAGCTTACATTGATTACAAACAAAGAGGAATATTAAGAGAAATTATAAAAGATGTGTTTGCAGACACCTCTTGAAAGCTGCAAGATTATTCAGGTGAAATAGACATGTTAAGATTAATCAATGTGAGAGATAAATAGGATGCATAATGATCAACTGATTTGTAAGATTAAAGATAATTAATGAGTTTAAGGAGATCTGCTAGGATTAATTGGCTGGAATGCTCCCCAGGGAGTGGAAAATGTGCATACATTGTGTGCGGGTAAGCCTGAATCCGATGACCGGGGTAATAATATATCTGTAAAGCGCTTTGGTACATCGTTGGATCGATGTATTGAGCGCTATATTAACACAGAATAATATTATTATTATTATTATTAATTGAATGGAGAGATGAAGAGTCGCATGTATGAGGATAAACTGGTAACCTTGAAAATAGCATCTTGTATGGTGACATTATAAGTAATATTTTGCAAGGATTAAATAATTCAAGATTTTTAAGATATTTCAAGTTTCTCTCATCATTTTGAGTTACTTGGATAAAGAACTAATTAAATAGATGCAGTTATTTAATAATTTTACTGATTAATTATCAACATTAACAGAATATTTGATATTAAAGTGATCATTTAACAATGTTCATTCTGAGATGCGCGGTTCTACGTGTTATCAGTGTCTGTGATATGTAGTAACATTGAAGCCATAACAAAATCGCACTTCAAAATGATCATGAAGTGCCTCAAAAAAGTAAAAACCTTTGAGTGACTGGATTTACCATACTGGTTTTCCCCCAATAGACTGTAGTGTTATGAAAATTTGTAATTCCAATCATAAATATCTTGATAATTGGATTGGTGATCGGCTTGTAAAAGTAATGGGGTTCCTGACTGACGTAAAGGTGTAGAATTATAATTGCAGCATGAGCTAAATCCAGAATTTTGTTTCAGAATCTGAGACAAAGTTACCGGATCCCTTTAAGATATAAAGTGTATTTCTTCCTAGCTTGCTCACAATATTTGGAATCAGGATGATTTCAGGCAGCTAAGTGTCTGAATACCTCCATATTTTGCAACAAGGTGCCCGAATATGTTTTTATATCTTTTATATAAAAATTCAATTTTTACGACTCGTTTTCGCTTCTCACAATCGCTACATTTAGTAATGGGATAATTCTGGGCGCCAAGATTCCCGGATATCCTCATAATCGTGTATATTTGGCAGCGGGTTGGCCGCATACATTATATTTTATATCTTATCTAGTGTGTTGATTACAAAATAATTTTTTTGACATATTAAAGCTGTAATTTTTTTGTTCCTCGCTGGCTCCACTCACTCGTTTCAGATTATCATTTTTTTTTTAAACATACTCACGTATGCTTGAAATTTGATTTCAATTGTTGACTGGCATATTAAAAGCAAGTCGCTGATCAGTGAAATTAATAAATTCTAAGGCTTTTCAAATATATCTCACCGATTGCTTTGTCTACAATAGTTTTGAAATGATATGTTTAATTTTTCCTTGATCTCTCTAAATTCTTGAATTTTCAATCATTTGCATTAAACAAAAGGAACACAATTTTTCAATGAAAATTCTGACTATGTGCTGATTTCATTTTAATAATGCATTCATTTTCAATCTGAAGAAATAATAATAAAATGATAATTCCACTAACTCTTATGGCTATTGTGCAGTATTATACCAAAGGGCTACAATTAACACCAAGTGACATATAATATGAAATTATAAATATAAATATTTACAGCACTTGTAATATTGGTAACTTTTTTTTAATGTGGGATACGCACGGACAAAAAACAAATAGGCCCATTTTGTTTTTCAGTAAGAGGAAAGGGAAATCTTTTATCAAAACTAGTGTAGGAAATTAATAATAAATACATGTAGTGACATAATAATAATAGTGGGTTCTTGTATAGCGCTCATATCCACAGTGATTGAGTGTATATGTTCCATACACATTAAGTGTGTGACAAATGTCAACTATGGCGGCCTACTGTTCGATTTATTAATAGGACATGCAGACATAGAGTTATTGCATATGTTGTCTGGTTGTTGTTGTTTTCTTTATGTGGTGATGTTTGAGGATTGCTTTACCTGACTGCTATTAGAAAGCATGTATATGCTTGTAAGTAAGTAAGCAACCAGGGGACAGATGGCTTCAAGTCCTCTCAGAGGGACTTGGTAATGAGGGTTCAAGCCTTGCCAAAAGGCACAAGTGCATTGACTTGGTTTCAAACCTGGGACCTCTCGGTACGAGACCACTGAGCCATCGTGCCCCCTCATGGCGCCTTATTTCTTCTTTCTTTAACTATGAGCCGTTTTTTTCTTCTCAGCAGTATGAACATTTTTATTTAACATGCCTGGGGTATAGGAACATTGCATTAATGGAATCGATCTAATTTTGTTTTTTATATTTTTTTTTAGGGGGAGGGGATAGTTTGTTCCACTTAACTTATATTCTGTATTTTCTTTGTCAATCACACATTTGCGTAAGTTTTTGTCCTTCTGAATGTGTCTTATGTATATTGCTTATGGATCAAACAGTTTGATTTAAATTGTTTCCTAATGAGATGTTGAGACACTGTTTTGACCACTTGTACAATGTTCTGTAATGTTTGTAACTTTATAAACTTTGTTACTGATGGTTAGTGTGAATGAGAAAGAGAGAGAGAGAGAGAGAGGGGGGGGGGGGGGGAGGGAACTACCGGTATACACGTTGTTAAAACCATTGTACAATGTTCTGTAATATTTATAACTTTATACAACTTTGCTACTTTAGCGGTGGTGTGTATGAGAAAGAGAGAGACAAAAGACAGAGAGAGAAAGAGAGAAGGGGATACTAAACACATTTGTTTTCAACCATTTGCACAATGTTCTGTAGTGTTTGTAACTTTATACAACTTTGCTACTTTTTCGGTAGTGTGAAAGTCACAGAGAGAGAGAAGGGGGATACTAAAGACGGGAGTTGCTGCTACCTTGTTCGGCGTTCAACAATAAGGGATAGAGCAACGTCGATCTGGCGCTGCTCAGTGGCTGCCGGGCTCACGATCTATTGGGCAAAAAGAATTTCTAATTTCGGTGTAACTTAATAAAATTTGGAGTGGACTTTAAAAGATTATTATTATTATTATCTTTTTCTTCATCATTGTGTTGTACATATTCAAATTTGTATTGCTCAGAGATTTGAAATCTCAATATATAACAAGAGTGGTTTGAAACCATACAAGCAAATGTTATCTTTTCTCAGTTACTATAGCTAGGGTAAGTCATAAGTGAAAATAATTAATAATAATGATAATAATAATTAAATGTTTTTGTATAGCACTTTACAGAACAGAATTCAGAAGGAATGGGAATGGTGCATGACCCAATAAATTAATAATAAAATAATAGAAATTGGCAAAGAATTATCATTTTGTTTAATGCATTGGTATTTCTAAGGGGATTACCAACATGATTTTTCTGGTCAAATTTATTTTATTTTAGATTTTTCTACCCGAGGTAAATTGTCACAGAATTTCCATATGTAATTTTTCTTAATTTCCATAATTTCCATATTTTGAATTGTCATTCAGATTCGTTTGGGATATTTTTTTTTTTTTACTCATTTACTTTTATTTCATCTATCAAATTTCTAGAGAATTCCGGTAAAAATATTTGAATGATTGAATATAGTTGTTTTTAAATGTTTTTCAACCCAATAATGTTTCAAAGAAAACCATTGTTTGTTTGTTTTTTAATTGTAAGCTTCATTTAATCACATTTCATTTGTATCCAATTCAACATCATATTTTCATGCTTTGATATGTTTGAATCTTATCCATTAATAAATGTGAATATTTCATAACTTTCATGGTGTTATGCAGAATGACTCTCAAAGATAAACTAATTAAGGGTAACCCTAAAATTTTCCAGAAAAACAGAGAAGTGTATTAGCTTGGAGAGAGAGAGAGAGAGAGAGAGAGAGAGAGAGAGAGAGAGAGAGAGAGAGAGAGAGAGAGAGAGAGAGAGAAACAATGATATGTTAATGAGAACAAAGAATTATCCAGCAACTGGTTAAAACCCTCTAGAATATAGAATTCCATACCTGGCAACTCTTTCCATTAAAAGTACCAGGGAAATGATTGTTCTGGGCTATAGAGTAGTGCTGGCTATGATGCATAAAATGTATACATCTCTCTTTAATTTGCAACGAAATACGTAATCTATCCAGTAAACGGTTAGCATAACTCCACTATAGGCCAGTACTGCAAAGAGCATAATTATGTTCATCAACAAGTTTCACGTCAACAAAGAATAAACGAGTTGGGAATACCACATCCGGGAACTTTGAGAGGTGTACAAGACCCCTTCACTTCTTTTCCCCATGCATCCGCGAAATAAGCAAAATCTGCCGTTTGTTTTTCTGACTGTAATTGAGATGACTTGTCACGATTTTATATGAAACATTGTACTCAATATTCAATTTTATGTTTAGGATGGGATTCAAGCTTTAGATATGGCTTTGTAATGAATTTATAACTTTATTTTATTATTACGCCATGTGATGCGGTCTATGAGTGAACATATATTTTTTGTTGTCTTACGGTATTTTTATCTGCCCGAATTGGAGTTTAGTGATTATCTGGTGTCACATTGAAGATGTCCAATAAAGAGCTGGAGAAGCTACAGCATCTGCTGCGAAAGGAAATACAAACCCATCAGGTAACTTTCTATGAATCTGCAAGGTTTTGAGATATGTAGCTCGTAGATTTCAGGGGCCGATACCCGGTGATGCCTGTACCCCTCCAGTTTAAATGTCCTATTGCAACTTGCGTGTGTGTGTGTAATTTGCATGCAAGTCTCCGACTATTTCTGGGTGCTCTACCGGCGACTCCTCGCTAGTTCGTATTTTGACCTTTTACAAAATCTAATATTTTTAGACTTTGGTAGACTTCTTCATCCATTTAACTGCAATGAGCTCAGCTCTCTCTATTTATAGAATGCCAAAAATGTCTCAATTTTGTCTGGGTCTACCCTGTATTTTTCAGATTCGGTGGTTTTTACGATTCTCAGAAACTTTCTCGCCGCATCTTTCCCACAACATCATTTTGGTCTATTGTCCTGAAGCTCGCTGCCTCAAGTTTCATTCATTGACATTTTTGTTTACGTGCATACATGTCAACTGGGAGTGTTATGCAGTATGTGAGCACCGAGTGTGTGTGTGTATTGCAGTGGTAGCCTATGCAAGGGAAGATCTGTGTGGAATTGACTGCACGTAGTGAATACATACATAATCATATTGAAACAAAGTACAAACTTACAAAAATACAAAAAGAATCTAGAGTGCACCCCACATAACAAACAAAAAGATGTGAAGTTAGATTCTAATCGCCAACACTCTGTGAAATGAAGAACTCCTTGAATTTTCTCCATTGTTTGTCAGCTTGGCCTTGTTCATTTTTGATTTTCTTTGTTTTCATTTGTCTGTTTGTTTTTGTTTTTGTTTTTTGAGGATGACTATTTTACCTGACTAAGAAAACATGCATAGACCTATGCATGTAAATAAATAACCAGCAGGCGACCAACGGCTTTAAGTTTTACTTTACGTTCTCACCGAGCCCGAGGGACTTGTAAGTTGGTATCGTGGACTAATGCCTTACCAATGGGCACAAGGACATTTAACAGTTTTGAACCCAGGACCTCCCACTTATGACACCACTGCTCTACCACTGAGCCATCATGCTTCTCATGTTTTTCATGCTTGACTACCTCAAGTGTACAAAATTAATCAATGAATAAATTGAATAAATTAATACTAGAAATGAATAGATTAGTTAATCAATTGAATTAATAACTAAATAATAAATCAAAAGGGTCTTAATGAATGTACAGTACATGTTCAGTAGATCTATGTGGATCTAATTCATAATATTTGTTTAATTTGATGTTATGTTTTTTTTTCCTTGTTGGATTTATAGGCAAAAAAATCTTACAAAATTGTAAAATATTGATCAAGTCTATTCTTACATCTCCAGTTTGTAATGTACTGTAGTTTTTTGCCCTTTAAAAAAAATAGACTACAAGGTTAAGGAATGGGTACATGTATGCACTATCTGTGGAATACATGTAGATGCTTAGTAGTAGTTTAGTTGCATAAATGAAATGGACCAAAATAGTTATCTACATGCAGGCGCGTACGCAGGATTTCTTCGAAGGGGGGGGGGGGGGGGTTATAAAATGTGAAAATCACGCCGAAAATTTCTCAATGACTCGACCAGCCGCTGAATAAACAAACGGGGAGGGGGGGGGGGTAAGAGGACATATGAAAATTTGGCTGATCAATATTTCGTTTCGTTGGGGGGGGGGGTAAGGTCAGCTTTTTGGGGTCACCCATTACCACAATTTTTTTTTTTTTTTTTCCAATCAAAACAAATAATGAGGGGGGGGGGGGTTTCCTCCAAAACACACGCATACAAAAGTTTGAGGGGGGTTCAACCCCCCTCGGCGTACGTGCCTGTCTGATTCCATGACATTTGCTCCGGCGACAATTGCTCCGCTGTAAATTTCATACACTAATCGAATGGCTAACTTCAACCCTGGATTCAACACTATACCCTACCCTAAACCTAACCCTAAACCTAACATAAAACCCTATTGAAACCCTAACCCTAACCCTACATCTTAGACGAAATAAAGCCCGGAGCAATTGTCGCAGGAGCAAATGTCGTGTCACCGCCTGTCTACATGTTAATACTAGGAATTGCAATGACATGTTTAGTTGGCTACAATTCCCTTCGTACTGTTTTCGATCTATACTTACTTACTTGGGTATACTTGGGTGTAGAGACTGGAAGTTTCGCTTATTTGTCCCTCTTTACTGTTGCATCCCGTCTCAAGTATGGTTCAGACTTTATTGGATTGTTTCTCCAATACCTTTCTAGGAATGACTTGAATTGGTTAATGGTGGTAGCATTGACTACTTCCTTAGGCAGGGCATTCCAATTGTTTACACTCCTTATTGAGAAACTATACTGCCTAATAAGTCTTGTGTTAAAACGTTGTTTAACAATCTTGAAATCATGTCCTCTTGTTATTGATCCAGTGGCAAGTTGGAAGAATTTTGAAGGATTCACTCTGTCAAAGCCTCTCAGGATTTTGAATATCTGTATCTGGTCTGCTCTTTGTCTTCTGTAAGCCAAAGTAGGAAGTTGTAGTTCTCTAAGTCTGTCTGGGTATGCTTGTTGTTTCAGTTCAGGAAGAAGTCTGGTGGCCCTCTGTTGGACTTTTTCTAGTATGTCTTCATCTCTCTTGAGTATTGGGCACCATACAGAGTTGCAGTATTCTAGTGTTGGTCGAATAATATTGCACTTTGTTTTTTTGAAGAGCCTGGTCTTAATTTGATTTCTAAGAAATACAATTGTTTATTTCAAGTTTTCAACATGCACTTTGTTGATTGTTTTTTAAATCAGTGTTGCTGAATATCACATGTTCACACTTGTAGAGCGCCACATTGATATTCAAAAGAAATAGAATGACCTTCCAAATACAGAAAAAAAAGTTTAAATTCATTCACTTTTTAATTTTATTTGTTCAATATGCCAGACCCAAAATAAACTCAGATACAATTTACACATGTAACTTGAAATTTATATTAGAATAAGATGAAACTGCATGTACTGTAAGTAAACTAAGTACATTGTACACCACAAGAACCTATTTTATTGGCAATACACTTTGCATGGTGGCATGATTCCTTTGTTACCGCCTTACCGGTATACATTATGCATCTCTAGTACTGGTATACATGTAGACTTGCATGTATTTACATGCAATTACATCATGTACATGGAGATCAGTTTGGTAAATTGGAGTTGGTTATGCACAGGCTGGTCATAAATGCACAAGGAAATACTTTGTTTTTTAGCAGTACAGGTGTAGCCATATAAGCCACTGTATTGTAAATAATTGTGTACTCAATAAGCCAAACATGCACCTTGTGTATGTGCACGTAGGTCTCCTTGTTAATAGAGGGTTCTATTTTTCTTGTTTTATATTCTTTACTAGTTTACTCTTTTTTTCTCTCTCTCTCTCTTTTCTGCAGATACTTGTGACAAAGATCAAGAGTGAACCTCATGTAAGGAAAACTTTTGTATTTACTGTTAAATGTTGTTGTTTGTGATAATTTACATTGCACCTGTGAAAATGAAAGATGTAATATCAATTCATTTTTATGAAGAATTTTGCCACTTGTAAACCAAAGCACTCATCAACCTTGCCTACTTTTAATACTGGGAAGCTTAATACCAAACTGTTAAAATTCTACTGTGTACAACTATCTACCCCTTTTGCTAATGCATTCAGAGTAAATGGATTGGAATTTTGAGCCAGCTGCATTTTCAGTGTACAGCTTTAAGAGATTAAAATTAACAGCTTTGTTTTAATTTAAGTCAACGAAATCACAATCATGTAGACATGTATATAATGTATTTGTTTTTAATTTTCAAAATCCAGATCTTTGTTGAGATCGTGTAAATTTTTTTTTGAAATATCCACAACCTCTTCCTTCAATATTGTTCGGAGATATGATGTTGAAATATTGCGTACATGTATGCAGGCCTTAAATTTCGATATTTTTAGGGCAACGCCACTTTTCTGTAGGGCACATTCCTATAAAGGTTGTATTACAGCACAAATAGGAAGAATTGGAAAGGGCACAAAAAATCTCAAAGGCCAATGAGAGGGGCATTGAGGCCAATCAAAGGGGCATCCAAGGCCATGGCCTTGGTGGCCTTGGGTTAATTTAAGCCCTGTGTATGTACATGTACATTTGAGTCAGTGTACAGTTCTTGTATGAAAGTAATACCGTACATCAAAGTTTATCGTTGTTGTTCTCTCTTTTGTTATGAACAGAATGTAGAACTGCGAATGAATCTGCATGATCAGCAAGCCAAGATAACAGCTCTCAGTGAAAAGCAGGTAAGATTATAGATTATATAACCATGAAAAGGGTGCTAGAATAATGCTTTATAAAGATAAAGATGAGTTTTGGTAATGCGATTGCATTGTGAAAGAAAAGGTGTGGAATGGATCAGAAAAAGTTGATCATGTAGCATGTAAGTATTGGTGTGCACTGCAAGGTTCTGGAGCCATCAAAATCATAATCAATTTGGCCCAGTCTTGGTAAAGTTACAAGCACTATACACATAAAGATGTATATGGGACTACACAAATGGTGTCGGGGCTAGTTTACCTTGATATCCTTATCTTTCTATGCTCATTACTTAGTCAGTATACATTTTCTTCCAAAATTGTTTGGCACATGACATTTATTTGTAATCTTGAACATTCAGTGTAAGTTTCGTTTGATTCTGTGAGGATTCATTTTCTTTTTTTTACCAGAACTCGTGTTTATCTTTAAGCAACCCAGAATGAGCAGACTCAATAAACAGTAATTCTTTTAAATGTACGCCTGTCATCGAAATGAGTGAATTTGGATTTACAGTTCTGTTTGGGAATGGTGGGCGTGAGAATGGTGTAAGAAAACCAAACCATATATATGGAGTCACTGATCACTGAAGTTGTTATTGGCAAGACACTACAAGACACCCGATGTGAATTGATTAAAATGCTTTTAATGAAATTACTTCTGAATTGTGATGAAGTCAGTGAAAACAGGTCCCTTCTCCTCCAGTCCTCCCTTTATTTTTCTACCATACTTTTTGTAATGTTTACCACAGAAAAAAGTCGTAGAACAACTCCGCTCAGACCTTGGTGTGAGGAAGCCCTCAGCACAGCATGAAGCGGTGAGAAATCTATATTAACCTTCTTATTACCAAATAACGCCTACATGTACATGTAGATGAAATTTATGATTTGTATGCGTATAATCTCAAGTTGCAGTTTCGAGCATCATTAACATAAAGTCATCAGCATTTTCCCTCTTCAGGTTGTTAATAACTTTTGAGCCATGATAAAACTCCAAGACAAGGGGAAATCTTTTTAACAATGAAATTCTAAAGTTCCTATTCCATATTCTTCTATCTTTGTCATGTAAAGTACTGTCCCGTTCTCGTCTCTTTCGGCATCCCCCTTTTTCCCTATTTTGTAGTTACAGTACCGACTTGTTAATTTAATTACTCTTTATTCCTAAGTAGCATTTGAGGTGTCCACACTTGTACAAGCATTGCTTTTTAGTAGACCTCTCTGTTTCCAATATGTATTTCTACATTTATTGTAAATTTGTATAATTGATTTGTAATGTTTTGTTGGAAGCAAAATAAATTGAAATTGAAATATTAGAAAAAAAGAGGAAGGCAGAGAGAGAAAGAAACCTCTAGAAAGTTTATTAGCTTTGAATTCCTCAGCCAATTTTTTCTTTGATTTTGAAACAGAAATATTGTTCTTCTCTTTTGCAGGTGCAGAAGGTCACTCTACTGCAAACCAGCGCTCAAACCCCTGACCACATCTCAACACCTGAACATCCCTAGTCGAGTCAAGGCCAACATGATCGGTGGTACAACCACCAAGCTCCTTGTAGCCCCCACTACCACCCATACCACCACCATCACAACCACACCCATAACCAGTGGAGGAGGGGGAGTGGTCGGTGGTGGAGGAGGAGGAGGAGGCGGTGCTCAGCATACCCCTTCCACGCCCACTCGTCTGTCGATCCTAACCAATAAACCTTCGGTTATAAGTATCAAGGTGCCTAATATTTCCGGTCGGCTGAACTCGCTGGTGGTCAAGAGACCCGTTTCACAAAACCTGTCAAAGGTAAGCATTTTAAAAAAAAATTTATTTATTTTATTTGGTCCTCAAGGATAACATAAAGTCAACTGGCTATTTACAATCATGTACAGGAATGTGAAATGACAAAAACGTCATGAAGTCCACTACAACACAAATATATTTTTCCCCAGTTTTGAAGGATAATCCAATGAAGGTAGCAAGTTGCTGTGAATGTAAAAAGAATATTTGGCAAGACTGTTTGAACAAAAATGAATAAATAATCAAAAAGTGTTAATTTTGGAAAATTGAGATCACTGTTACAGTCAAACAGGTTACAGTCAAACCTGCTTTAGTGATCACCTGTCTACTCAGACCACATTTTTGGTTTCCCTTGAAAAGGATTCTTTATTGGAACATGTACTAAAGACCACTTTTTGTGTTTCACTTGGGCAGTCGCTATAGATAGGTTTGACTGTATTACAAAAAAATGGTATCTGCTATTAAACATCAAAAGCCCTAGATGCTTACTCTCTCAATTTTATGTTACGAGAACAAGTAGCCATTGTAGGTTCAAGTTATGTCTATTTTTCTTCCGACTTTCTTGAAGGAACTTGATTACATGGCAAAGCAGTACAAGCGGCAATTCCTGTCTACAAGGCCTAAAGACAACCCACTGCCTTCGTCGCTATCAAGTTGTGTTGCCTCGCAATCTACATCATCTTCAACGTTGCTGTCATCTACCATGACCTATACTACAGCCTGCCTGAAGAAACCTTTAACTGCCGAAGAAATGGTATGTTGTCTGCAAGAGGTCCCCTCTAGATATCTGTTTTCCCATCTAAGTGGATTTTTTCATGGGAAATGGCTGTGCAGCATCTACAATAATAATACTCATTTTTTTTATAGCGCTTATTACAATCACTAAGCGCTTCCAAACTTGGAGATTATTACCCCAGCATTAGCTGTGCTGCCATTTAGGCGCTCAAGCACTTCAAAGAATTAATTCCTGCCAGGTACCCATGTACATCACCTGGGTTGAGTGTGGCAAATGTAGATCAATGTCTTGCCAAAGGACATTAGTGCCGCGGCGGGTTTCGAACCCTGGACCTTGTGATCTACAGTCAGGCGACTTAACCACTCGACCACGGAACCTCTAGATATTTGTGTATTAATAGGCAGCGCTCAACACTGACCCGTACCCAGGAACATGGGAACCCAAAATCAAAATACAGACTCCCATTAAGCTTAACTCCCATTAAGCTTAACTCCAATGATTTTGAAAGTTTTACTTGTATTGGGGCTCATGCATCATATCATTTGATAGATATATTCCTGTTCTTTGTTACTTACTCATTTAGTGAGCCCTAATTTCATCAGTCATTCATATTGCAAATTAGATAAAATGTTGTAAATAACCGTTGTTGTCAAAGGCACCCTGTAATCGTTTGATAATTTTGCGTTGCCATAGAAACTGGAGTTCATGGCATCCATCGGCCTGGTCACCCCGAAGACGGCGGAAACCTTACAGAGTAAGAGATCGGAGAGGAAAAGAAGAAGTACGGCCAACCCCAGTTCTCAAAGTTCGACAAGCATGAGTTGGAGGTAAGCATGGTGGTGGTCAGTGTGTTAATTTAGCAAAACAATGTAGGATATCATGAAAATATCATCTACAACTAAGATATTTTCAAACTCTTGTTGTAAGTGGCTGAACAAGGATTCTTGGAGAAGAATACAAATTTTGTAAGTCATTATCATGGGCAAGAAATTGCTAAGAATCTCTAACAGGCGGAATAAAAAAGAAAAGAAAGGCTCTCGCATTTGTCCCTCTTTCGGTTGGGAACTGAAAATATTACCGGAACTTATGAGAGGGTTAGGCTATTTTGTTTATAAAATTGTCTTATTTCACCCATGTCCTCCATCCACCCCCCCCCCCCCCCCTCCACTCACCCCCATATTATCCCTGGATCTGCCACTAATTATCAACTTATTACTGATATGGTTTGAAAATCATACACTATTAACTAGTTAATCAATATAATTCTCATTTGACTAATTTCCGTATTAATATTAAAATTGATAATATGGCAATCGAACAAAAAAGGACATTAAAGTTTTTAGGAGTTTTTATTGACGAAAATTTAACATGGAATGATCACTTACATTATGTATCTATGTGTATATCGAGAAGTGTTGGAATAATAAATAAGTTAAAATTTCTTTTGCCCCATACTACGTTATTTTTATTGTACAACACACTAGTACTTCCATATATAACATATTGTAATATTGTTTGGGCAAATTGTGGTGTAACCAAACTTAATTCAATTCTTTTATTACAAAAAAGGGCATTGCGTATTTGTACTGGATCTCTTTTTTTAGCCCATACAGACCCATTATTTCTTAAGTTAAAAACCTTAAAAGTCACTGACTTACATACTCTCCAAGTTGCAATTTTTATGTTCAAATACATGAATAAGCAACTGCCACCTTCATTCGATAATTTTTTTGTTCATAATAATACAATTCATTCTTATCCAACTCGTATTTCTGAGAATTTTCATTTAACTAACCCCAGATTGTTGATTACACATAAATCAATCAGACACCATGGCCCCGATTTATGGAACAATTTATCTCAACTAATTAAATCATGCTCGACCCTTTATTCTTTTAAAGCGACACTAAAACGTCACATTATATCCTCATACAAAATCGTTATTCATTAAACTTCGTCTCTTAATTCGAATATATTTTTAATTTATTAATTCTTAAAATACAATAGTATTGTATTATAAACATTACATACCAGAACCCTATTCGCACTTGCACATGCACTTTCACTGCACCCACTTGATCAATTTCGTGTGTACAACTATATTTTTTAAGAGTTTGCCGCTATTCTCTCGAGGCCGCCATCGATTTCAAGCTTACCGCTCATGATGGCGGTCTCCTGCATTTTCTGTAATTTATCTTTCTTTTTTTTCTTTTTTTTCATTGAAATTATATTTGTGTTTGTATGCATCTTATTCAATGTACTTAAAAATGTATAATCATGTAAAATGAAGAAATATTTGTTACTTTATGTATATGATTATGTTTCATTTTGAAAATGCAGAAATAAAAATAAATAAACAAAATAAACAATATGATATATATGCATATCATTTAATTAGTTGTTCGTTACACAACACAAGTCAGGGTTATTTTCAGTTTATTAACTTCTTGTTTGTAAACAGAGTCGGAGGTCAGCAACAACTTATCTAGCCGCTGCTAACGGATGGTCGGGAGAGAAAAGGAGAAAAGGTATGAAAACAAAGCCTTCAATCTTTCAAACTTACTTGTACAATTAGAAAGGGGGAAAACATCTTGTACATTTATTCTGAAATTGAGGTTATGAAGAGATTGTGGAAGTGTTAGAAAGCATGAATTTGAACGTATGTTGTATCTTGGTCATTGAAATGCATTCCTAGAGAAACTTTCTTAGGTTTATTGTAATTTGTATTCAGGTAAAACTCTTTTCCACAAACGTATATTCCCCCAGTTCTTTCATCATTGTTTGTTTGTTTTACCTGACTGCTAAGAAGCATGAGTATGCTTGTAAGAAAGCAACCAGGGGTCCGATGTCTTAAAGTCCTCTCCAAGGGACTTGGTAATGAGAGTTAATGCCTTACCAAAGGGTACTAGTGCATCCACTTGGTTCCAAACCCGGGACCTACCGGTTACGAGACCACTGCTCGACCACTGAGCCATCACGCCCCCTTCGTTTATCTACTAAGAAAGCACATTGATGAATCTGTCTGAACATTTTGCTCACTTATCATGTCTTGTGTAATAATAATAATAATATTAAATTTTTATATAGCGCTTAAAGGGATCGTTTAACAATGTTAAATCTGAGATACACGGTCCTACATGTTAACAGTGTCTGTGATATTTAAGTAATATTGACTGCCTTCTGGGCAATACGACATATATCGCCCGAACCGAAGGTGAGGGTGATATATGACAAGTCGTATTGCCCTGAATTAGGCAGTCAATATTACTATTATTAACCACATCAGACATCTAGAGCAAACAAGAAACTCTTACTATCTTATACTCTTAAATTATGTAGGCTACACAGGGTTTCCTAGCATTAGAAGTTGCAAAAACATTGTCAAACCAGCACTGTTCATCCAGTGTTTGACAGATTTTCGATACACTGCAAACAGTTTGCCTAGGGTGTGATTGTTACGTCACAATGGAGTTCGCGCAAAGTGCGCATTTTCTAATACACGATGCGCGATGTAAATTACAATAGCTGATGCGCGATGTAAATTACAACTGGCACTACATTATTGCGCACTAGTTTAACACGCATTTTGCCATTGACTTTTCAGAGCGGGCTAAAATATTTGTCCATTGACTTACTGTATAACCTATATTGCCCGCCAAATTACACACAAATCCCATTGACTCTTCTGAGCGGGGTAAAATATTTGCGCATTGGTTTTCTATATAACCTATATTGCCCGCCAAATTACACACAAAATCCCATTGACTTTTCTGCGCGGACTAACTTATTGTAATTTTGGTGACTTATCCATCAAAACCTTGAGGGCAATACCATTTAAAAATTGCCCTGCTCAGATGTCTGATACGGTTAATAATGTTTAATATTGAAGCCCTGAAAAAATCGCGCTTCAAAATGATCAAGAAGTGCCTCAAAAAAGTAAAAATCTTTGATTGACCGGTTTTAGCATACTCGTTTTCCCCAATAGACTGTAGTGTTACGAAAACCGTTCAGCAAACGGTTTTCAAAATTTGTAATTCCAATCATTAATATCTTGATAATCAGACAGGCGATCGGCTTGAAAAAGTCATGGAGTTCCTGACTGACCTAAAGGTTTATATTTATCATTGCAGCATGAGCTAATTTAAGGATTATTTCTAAAAGATCTAAGACAAAGTTACCGGATCCCTTTAATAGAAATGTCTCTAAGCGCTTTACAAATATACTATTAACCCGGTCATTGGATTCAATACTTGCCTGAGGAGCATTCCAGCCAGGCGTTACTTGACGCGCAAAAACTGTTTGACAATGACGGCCGCATCCTACCTGGTACTCATTTAACACCTGGGTAGAGAGTAGCAAGGGCAGGTTAATATCTTACCAAAGGATATAAGTGTCATGTCGAGATTCGAACCCTCGACCTTTGCATCTCCAGTCAAGCGCCTTAAACCACTCGACCACGACACTCCCAGTCATTCACTCTTAATATTTCTTTTTGTGCCTCCTTTTTCACTACAGCTGCTAGGCCTGCTAGATTCGCTGATGGTGTTGGTTCAGAAAATGCTGGAATAAATGGTCTGCCTAAGCCAGACTCAGATGTAAGTAGTTAGTATACAATGGAGTTTCTAGTTTGACTTTGTTCTAATATCTTGTCAAAGAATTTGTCTTATCTTTAATATCAGTTAATGTACTGTTATTCATGTTGTTGGAGATTTCCTGTAAGTGCCACGAAAGTGGGGCTCTATTTTCACTCACAAATTTTTTTGTATTTTGTATTCACATGAACTTTCTGTCAGCAAGGGCCACACAGTATTGGACTTCACTTCACTGTAAATAGGATTAAGCATAAGGAAAATAAAATTTAATTTTAGACCTTCGGTATCTTTAAATAGTCATGAATTTGATACGTATTATGCCATAGGTCTGTTGATACGTGTGAGGGTTCTGCCATTGTATGTACAAACTTTTGCTATTTGTTGGCTCCATTTTAATACCAGATGCATACTAAATTATCATGCAACATTCCTAAAGTAACTTGGAATGTGCAGGTGATAAATGATACAATAAAATGAAATACAATTGATATTGATGATAATAATATTAATTGCAATGTAATATTGTGTTTGTAGTTACTCTGGATATATGAACAAACATTGAATTTAATGTAAATTGAGAGAAAATATCTATATAATGTGAATTTTAGTGCTATATGTTTATTCTTTCTATAATTTATATTGTATGTATCATGTCACATGTACATTTACTATTATCTTTCTGTAAATAATGCATGTAAACGCAACAAATTTGCTTTTGGACCAATAAATTTTAAATTGGATTTGATTGAATCGAATTGAATTCATTACTTTGATAATCATTTGTCCCTCTTACCACCAGGGGCATGAGGATATATGTGCAGTCTGTAGGCAGATTGGTGAGCTGTTGATGTGCGATACCTGTAACCTAGTCTACCATCTGACCTGCCTGGACCCGCCCCTCGCCGCCGTACCCCCAGGAGCCTGGAGCTGCCCCGAATGCAAGGTAGGATCATATCCCGTAGAGTAAAGAGAGTTGCGTCACTGGAAGTCGTGCTCATTCATAAGTAATGTTAATTCCATTAGTGATATTGATTTTTCTTGAAGTAATCTTGATTTGTGTACAGCGCTTTGAAACTTTTATGTCACAAGCGCTATATAACTGTTTAGTATTAATATTATTACAAGTCTAATTCAGGAATTAATTCCTTGAAATGCTAGAGTGCTGTAATGGCAGCCATGCTAAAGCCAGGGTAATAAGTATAGAGTGCCTGAAGTGTCAAGTGTTCCGGACATTAGCGCTTTACAAGAACCCATGAATATTATTATTATTGTTACTTTCATTATTATAGTAATGAAAAAGGAAGACCAACTAGAGAATTGGGAAGACACCTAGGCCGTGGTTCATGCCTTTCTCTCTCACAAACGGGTCAAGAAGAGAATGAGAAATATGAGAAAACAAGAGAAAGATCATCTTTGGAGATGGTAGTCAAGTTTCCATGTGAAGTAGGTCATAATTCGCTGACACCAGACTTAATGGAATACCATTAATGGGTGCACACGTCTGCACACAGCTAACTCGTAGTCCAATTAAGACATACCCCCTAGTCTCTCTGAGAGTCTTCGGGTGAGGGATATGTAAGAAAATTCCTTTTCCATATGGGGTGCATTACATAAGGCTGATTGGTCATAAAAACTGAAAGCTAGTGATTGACAACACCTCTTATTGGCCAAATGCCCAAATGGTGTCGAATTCCCCATAAAAGCACACTATTGTGCACCATTCTAGTGACTTGGTAACATTGTTGAAGGTTGATGAAAAAACTGCTTAATTTTGTATGAAATGTTACTTATTATATTCATTCTACTGTACTAACCCTCTAACATACAAAAAATCCTGAAAAAATTCTTAAACCAAATATTTATGGTTTTCTTTGAAGGCGTCACGATGCGACAACCTCTAACAGTAAATTCTCCCAACCATTTTTGAATTTTCCCAACCGTTTTTACATAAAAATAACACATAAGACTGGCTTTCAAAATAAATTCAACATTTAAATGTCTGGAATGGTATATAGAGCTTTGCTTTGTGACATTGAACATTCATCTAAAATATAATTAAATTGTAATAATATAGGAGATTTAAGGAATCGATCAGATCAGATCAGTTTTTTCCCAATTTTTATTTATAACAATGGTCTGTTTTTACTCAAACTTTCAGGTTATCTTTAATTGTACATCTAGCATTGAAGTTACTACCGTAGCACTATTTTCTCTCATTTAACAATGTTACCAAGTCCCTTTAACATACCAATTCCATCCCATTTTTCCTTTGACTGACGCAGTTAAAGGGTAAAGACAAGCCAGAGAATTGGCAGGGCACCTTGGCTGTGGTTCATGCCTTTCTCTCTCACAAACAGTCGATGGAAGACGAGAAGAAGAAGCTCGGTCGCCGGGCGGCGGACCTCCGGATGCAGAGAGTCCAGCTGGAAGAGAAAGCTAAACATCTCAACGATGCCATTACGGTAAGGACACATTGCAGAAGATCACCGTTATTGTACAGTCAAACCTGCTTTATCGACCATCTGCATAGAAAGAGCACTTGTCCACAAAGACATTATTTTCCCTTGTATATTGCTTCTCATTAAAACCTTTATCAAAGGAACATGTACATAAAGACTACCTGTCTATAGAGACCATATTTATTGTTTCCCTTGAGTACGGTTTCTCATTAAAAACTTTATTAAAAGAACCTGTACAAATACTGCACAAAACAAAAGAAATAGGCCAGTGTAAAGTTGGCTGAATACTGAACCCAATGCTAAATTTCTGTGACGAAGTTACTCTCAACCGATCAAATGCCACAATATCAGTAGTTTATAACATTTATTGCAACTTGATATCTATAATGAGTTTTATGAAACAGGGCACAGGTCTCCATACTGTTATGTCACAGGGGGTCCACACTGAAATCTTTGGGTCCCTGTCCACATGGCCCTTGTTTAAATTTGCCCAAATCTTATGTGTCGGGGGAAGTGTATCACAAAGACTAAGATCGACTTCAAGTTGGACTTAACTATGCCAGGCCATTCATGCCACTGTTTGCTCTCACCATTTACTAGCACTGGTCTCTCAAGAGACTTACAAATCATGGTCACAAATCTACAGAATTTACGTTTGTTGATAGTTCATTATTGAAGGAAAAAATATTATCTAAAGATCATAATTGAGAGAGCAATGGTGAGAGTAACCAGTGGCATGAATGGCCTGCCATAGTTGAGTCCAACTTAAAGTTGATCTTAATCTTTGTGAAGCACTCCCCTGACTTAAAATCTTGGGGGGCCTATGGGCATAAGGGGTGCCTGTAAGTGTCCATCACTGGTTGGGCTAACATTAATTCCGTCAATCTCTCCATCACTGGTTGGGCTAACATTAATTCCGTCAATCTCTCTCTCTGTTCCCAACTTTTCACAGAATCAAAGCAAATCAAATGAATCCTTGATGACGTCCTTCCGCAAGACGGAAGCAACGATCACCCAACTCAAAGACTTCCTCACAAGTTTTCAGGTCAAGGTGGAACCCATGATGGAAAGCCAATAACAGCAATTGGATCGAAATAGATTTGTATGATTTTTATATCGTTCTTTTCTAGTCATATATATATATATATATATATATATATATAAGTCTGTCTCTTTTTTTTACAACTCAGATCAGACACAAATTTTGAGATAGTATGAGAGGCGTGCTTTTTTTTAGTATGTTGCATTGATGAAATACTCTACATGTAGGTCTGACAAAACTATGGAATATTTTCCAGCTCGTCACCTAGGATTGAATTAAACGCAGCAAGGAATATCATGTTGACAGTACCGTGCCTATTTAAAAGTA